ATGTTACACTCATCAAGAGTTTTCATTTGAGTACCCACATGCATTTTTTATATATTTTTCATATATACATATATACGATTTATATAAATATATGAAAAATTGATGTGGGTACTCAAATGAAAGGTCTTGATGAGTGTAACATCGGAATGAGCTTATATCTTTAAAAATATCAATAGTTCACAAGATGCAAGGTCATTTCTTAATTATGTATCTAGAGATAGAGCATTTTCGAATGCAGCCTAAATACTTATCATCATAAATTGACTATTGGTGAGAATGATATGAAACCATGAAAAGGCACAACTCCAGGTCAAGACTTTTTCAACGATACTAAATTTAACCATAAAAACCCATTTACTATATAAATACACTGGCCACACAATTTTGCTTATTCTCTTAATAATATAGATAATAAATTTTAAAATCATAAAACGTACCTTGAACAGGAGTAGTAGCATTAAAACTACATTTATACATCCCACCACATAAAGTACCAACGATAAAAATCTCATTATTCTTGTAAGAAATATCAAGACAAGTTATCGATAATCCTGGTTCCAATGTACGCTCATGTCGACCACTTGCACTTGGTGGCCGACTGTTTTCTGCTGGATTATGCTCTTTAATTATCTTAAACCTGTAAATAATATCAATCATTCTATTAAATAAAATTATTACAATATTTTGTGTAAACTATAAAATAATCACACTTTAGTACCGATTTTGTAATTTTGAATTTGTAAAGTTGTCAATTAATTTGTTGACATAAATAAAACCATCTGCGCTGGTGGTTATTAACATAGACGAGTCGGTATTAATTGTAGTACGTCGCCACATTAATGACGTTACTACATCATTGTGAACTGTAATTGACAGTGACTGCGACAAGGTATCAGCAATATTCCAGAGCAAAACATCGCCTTTCAAAAATAATTTATTTGTTAAAATAATAAACATTAACAATTATTTAAAAAATATAAATTACCATTAAAAAGACCAGCAGCAATTATTGACGGCTCAATAGGATGAAAACTCAAGCACGTAACACACGAATTAGTCTCATAATTTTTAGCCGCGTCTTGGTGCAATTTATCATCATTGCGCTCTAAATTGTAAAACTTTATCCTAGATTGATGATCACACCAAGCGGTGTGATTATTGCTGTACGCGACTGCCAGGGTACCTCCATTTTTGCTCCAACTTAACGAGCTTATTTTTTTCTGTAAAATAAATTATTTATTATGAAAAAATAATTTTTAAAAAATGACATTCGGCAGCCGAAATGTAAGTAGATTTCCTATTAAAATAAAATGACAACACTGATAATATAAACACTAAAGCAATTGAGAAAATACATAAATAAATTTATATAATAAAATGTAAAAACTAATGCTAAAGTTTAATTTCATCAAATCGACCGGTAAATATTTTATTTTTAATTTTTTTTTTAATATATAGACCGATTAATAAGAGCCTATTTGATAAGCTTTCAGATGGAGTTTACAGAAATTTAATAAGTTATCGAATTTAAAAAGTAATTGTGCCAACAACCACTAAAACTCACAATTTTATAAAATTTTGAAACTTTTAAATTGCTGGCATTTTTAAACTTATTGACCTAGCAAAAAATATAGCTATGCAAATTGAAGCTAATTTAATGAGCTTTCAGATAAAATTTACAGCAATTTAGTAAGTTATCTCGTTCAATAGCTATTGAAGGGAGAGACAGTAAAAGTTTAAATTTTTCGTTGTAATAAATCATTTTTAAAAATATGTAATTGCTGTAATTTGTTAACTAACCGACCGATTTAGCTCATCTTCGAACTTAACCTTGGAAATCCTCTAAAAAATAAGTAAGGTAAAAGACCCAGTTGTTGACTTGACCTAGTTAATTGACACTTGCAAATTTATTCTAATTAAAAAAATAAAATGTTCTCAAAAAACCGATTATCTTAAAATTTATAATTTAAAAATTATATTTACTAATTTATTAAAGTCAATTTGTTTTAATTAATTAAAAAAAAAATTGCAAGTGTCAATAACTAAGCCAGTGTCAATAACTGGGTCTTTTACCTTACGCTACATTTTATGGAGATCCGATAAGAATTGTGTGAGCTATAGTAAAGACAAAGCCGATTATATCCTATCCACTCTTATAATTTAGATGAAAAATATGAAAATATATCATGTAAGAGCAAACTATTCGCAACGTGATTGGTCAAATATATAATAAGCATGAAAATATAGATAATTCCATACCAACAATCACACGCGCGCTTGCGCGCGCAACGTATACTAGTCTTAATATAAAATTGAGATGAAATGTATGTGGCATCAAACTATTCGTAACGTGATTGGTCAAATATATCATAAGCATGAAAATATATGCAAACTCTATAGTCAAGGCGCGCGCTTGCGCGCGTAAATTTGAATTCTAGTCCTATAATAAAATAGAGATGAAATGTATGTGGCATCAAACTATTCGTAACGTGATTGGTTGAATATATCATAAGCATGAAAATATATGCAAACTCTATAGTTAGGCGCGCGCTTGCGCGCGAAAATTAAATTCTAGTATCCTATAAATAAATACATCTATCTATAAACTTTTGAGTTAATGATATTTTCTGAACCAGCTCGACGAGCTGACTCAAGGAATAGCAAAATTTTTGAAAAGTTCTATTATCAGGACAAATGCAATTGATTTTTATTAAATCTACTAACAATAAAAAAATTAAAAACTTACTTGGAAATCAAATTCATCGATGGTTGAAAATTTGTTGAGTAATTTAAGCTGATAATCATTATCACGGGAGCCAATAGGCTCATATGAATTGATAGTATGATTGTCGTAAATTTCATCAAGTGCTTCGAGGACTTTTGGTGTTACTTTTTTTAAAAATGCCGATAGTTTTGCATAATCAATTGCGATTTCTTTTGGCTGATTCTCGGCTTCTGTTTGTGTCTAAAAATTTTTTATTAATTATGATTTTATTGAAAATACATTTGTCAATTTTTTAGATTCAATTAACTTATGTAAAATTTTTAATTTGAAAATTTTACATTTGGAATGAAAAAAAAAAAAAATAAATGTGTAAATTATTTAAAAATATTTTTTACAAAGTCAGGATAAAATTTTTGTTTAGTTAATAATAATAATAATAATAATTACCTCAACACTGTGTTGAACATTAGACTGTACATTTTTATTTTTATAAATTAAATCATCAGTCTGTAATGATTGACATGATTTTTCTCTGAATGAAAATATAAAACAAAATTAATAAAACTAATTCAAAAAAATTATCACTTACATAAAATTTTACTTACGACTCTGTAGTAACTGTTGACGGAAAATATTCAGCATCATTAGATTTGTTAGTAAACATTATTGGAGTTAATTTACCTTGACAGCTTTTATTCTATCTATTGTATTCCAAATAAATAAACCTAACCTTAATATTTTAACTACCTGTCGGTATAACAATTAAGATATTGACTGGTACAAATTAGGGATTTGTATGAAAATGTTTTTACATATAAAACTAATTTAATAAATTCTTTGTCATTACATAAAATAGTTAAATAAAATTGAAAATTAAATTTTAATAAATAAATTAATTAATTAAAGTGGTTCAATATAAATATAAGAAAAAATAAATTACATTGGAGTGGGGGGGAGGTAATAGAAATTTTTTTAGAATTTTCTAGCAATTCAATTAATTATAATTTATTAAAAAAAAAAATTTAATTAAGAAATTTCATATGTGAAAATTGATAAAAATTATTAGTGATAATTTTTAGAAGCATTTTTTTATTGTAATTGATTTGTTATAAAAATTTTTAAAATTGACAGCTAACTTCAGTATCATTAAAAAAAGCACGTGACTTGAAACATGATGTGATTGGTTTGACGTCATTGTAAATATTATAAGCGCGTTATTTGAATGCATAAAAAGTGTTGAAAAAAATTTGAAGTTAATTTTTGTTAATAAAATTAGCAGATATTGAAAAATTTTGGATTTTTTAAATCAATAAAAATAATAAGAAGAAAAACCTGTAATGATAAGAAAAAAAATATTTTTTAAAAATTGCACTTTCAAATTTTTTTTTCAATAAAAAAAATTATAAAATTTTTTAGATATCGGCTCATTATATTTTCATTGTTAGTTTTTATTTACAGTGAGCTTGTTATATTTTATTATTAAGACTAAATTTACTCAAAATAGTATAAAAAAATTTTTACCACAGATTTGTAGATATAAAAAAAAAACACCTTGAAGAAAAGTATGTCCTGTGGTCACTACCATATAATAAGTGTAAGTATAAAAATTGAATATTAATTAATTTATTAACATAAAATTAATTATATTAATTATTTACCTAATTACATTTGACAATTTATAAATTTCATTTAAAAAAGTTACATAGTTTTTAAATTCACAATAAAGATATTGTTAACTATATTAAAGTAAAATGAATTATAATTCATGATATTATAATATACCAAAAGGTATAATTAAAACAATATTTTACAATAAATAATTTTATCCATACACAAAACTGTATACATTCCTTAATTAAATTAAAAAAATAATCCCTGAACATAAAACTCTGATAAATAAAAATTAACAAAAAAATTACCTAGCCCCTAGTAACATTGGTTTTGGACACGATTCTTTGGCCAGATGGTTGACCAAACTCTGGAAACAGAATCGGACAATTCTTAAGCCAGACAGTTAACCAAGATTATTTGTCCAGATTGGCGACAGACTTGGACAAGATTTTAAAACAAAATCTGGAGCAATAGGTCCAGTTTAGTGACAAATCTGTGGCCAGAATTTGTCCAGATTGTTGGTAAAGAAGTTTCACCCAGACTTGCGCGAGAAACTAAAAAGACTAACAGCCCTGATAGCCAGAATTTCAGACCAACAAACCCTGATAGCCAGAGTTTCAGACCAACAAAGTTGGTGTTAGATAGTTGCCACCAATTTAGCGATAACTTGCGGTCAAGTTCCGAATTTGTAACTGTTGGTATCAAGTTGGCTACAAGTTTCTGAGAAAAAGAAGACCAATCTACTGCTGCAATATGTCGTCAAAAATTTCTTGAGAAACTTGTTGTCAATTTGATGTAAAAAAATTTCAGAAGCAGTTTTTGCTGACAATTTGGTGAACAAGTTGACACTAACAGAGTTCATTTTCAAGACTTACTGCCAACTTTGTGACAAGTTGCGGCAGTAGATTGCGGAAAGTTGTGGCCAACTTGACTATCAGGGAGACTAACAATGCGTATTGTTATTGTACTGAAATAAGAATGAGAACTTCTGCTTTGACAACTGAGTTTCAAAAAGCGGTAGTGGGAAGCCTGACCATTTTCTGGACGAATTCTGGCCCCAGTCTTGCCCAAGAATTTTGGCCAAATATCTGGAGCGATTCTTCGACGAATCTTGAAGAATGATCTGCCATAAGTTTCTTGTCCAAGAATTGTAAAAATCTGTATCCAGATACTTAATTACGATTTTTGAACCAAACTTGTCCAATAGAACCAAATTGCTACTAGGGAGCATCAAAAAATTTCAAAATCCTGTCACCTAGACTTCCTGGTCTTCCTTCTGACCTCCCGTTTCTTGCCTTGTTCCCTCTGCAGCACCGTAAGATCCCTAGTGACAACAATTCCCTGCAACACAGTCGGTAACATCATCAACCTCCTCAGCCGACTGTGTTCCAGCAGAAGAGCATCAACTTTGTCTTCTCCCACAACAATCCTAAGAGGCCTGGGCTGCCCAGCGGCCTCAGAAATTCTCTCACACTTGACATCAGCCAAAATTTGCTTCAACCCTTGAAGAATCCTGGGAACAACTTCTTCATCATTCCCTTCAGGAACTCCAAACAATATAACATTTTCCCTTCTTCTTCTTCGATCTTCAAACTCCTCCTTCCTTTCATCCCAAGACTCTCCAACCTTCAACTCGGCAGTGTTGACATGCATCCTCAGATCATCAGTCCCCAGGTGCCTGACGATCCTTTCGATGCAATGATACGGCAGGATCATAAAATTATCCACCAAGAACTCGCACAAATCCTCGCAGCGCTTCAGCAACTTGTTCCTCTCGACAGCTCTCAGCACCTGGTTGACAATCATCGGGTAGTAAATCGGAAACTTAACCTTGTACTCCCCCGCATTGACAATCCCCAGTAAGTCAACCTTGTCGGCCATTTTTGCGCAACAATTATCCGAAATTCTCAACAAATCCCAGCAAGAAACTCTCCGTAACATGCGTTCTCTCTTCATCTTATCAATTTCTTCCTTGCACTCATCCCCAAAAGCTTCTTCAAACTTCCGCGGCGCTGCGTTTAAATTCTCCTTGCAAACATACAACTGCGCCATCTTCAGCATCACCACTTGTTTTATCAAAACATGAAGAACCTTCAACGCAATATCTTTAGGCTGCTGCGCAATCATTGCCATCAAATCGACATCTTCAATTCCTTGCTCTCCAAAAATAGCCTTCGCCCCACTGGAATTGAACGCAGATAAAACAGGAGTCTGCTTATCATTATCCAGGCAATTGACACTAGCGCCATACTTGAGGAGCATCAGAACCACCTGAAGGTGGCACCTCTGAGCAGCATAATGCAATGGCGTCCTACCAGCAACATCTCTAGCAGAAACATCTCCACCAAAGTCCAAAATAATCTGCAGAATTCCCAAATTTCCAACTTTTGCCGCTAGATGACAGGGAGTGCGACCAGCAGCGTCCTTAGTATTGATACAAACTCCAGCTTTAAGCAAAAGCTTCAGAGCTTCAATGCTGTCCAGGTCGACCGCCAGGTGGATAGCAGTCGACCGCTCATCTACGCCATTTTCTACAAGACACTTAACGATCGACAAATGGTTCCCATCAATGGCCATCCTCAGCGGAGTCTTAGCACCTGGTCCGTCAATCCTGGCTCCCCTGGACACCAACAGCTGGACCATGTCCTTGGCGCAGTAAGTAACTGCCAGGTGAAGAGGGGTGCAATCCTTGAAGAAGAGGTTACCCGTCGCATTGACATCAGCGTCATGGTTCAGCAGGAACTCCACCAGAGCCAAATTGTTCTCCAAGACTGCCATGTGAAGAGGAGTCACTCCGTTCACATCGCGGCCGTTAACAGAAGCTCCTTTGCTGATCAGAAAGTCTGCGACCTGGAGGTTCTTGTTGCAGGTCGCAGTGTGCAGGATTGTGCATCTGTCAACTCCACGCTTGTGGATGTCAGCACCCAGAGCTAGAAGACATTCTACAATCCCCAGGTGCTCTTTGCGAACTGCAGCGTGAAGTGGAACCAGACTACTGGACTTCTTGGCATTGATGTCAGCGCCATAATTCAGCAGGAGCTGGATCATATCCTCGCTTCCGTTGATGGCCGCTAGGCAGAGCGCCGAGCAGTTTTCACGGCAGTTAACTCGGCAAACTGCATTAACATCAGCTCCAGCTGCCAGCAGACACTCAGCAATGTCCAGGTTGTTTTTGTCAATTGCGATGTGCAGACAAGTCATATTGTTGGCATTTCTAGCCTCTACATTGGCCTTGTGGGCCACCAGGAGGTTCACCAGCTCCACCTGTCCGTTTTTTACTGCAGCATGCAGCGGAGTGTGAAGTTTCTCACACCTGAAGTTGCTGATACAGTTCGCGGTGGCTTTCTCCGCCAGGAGGCGCTCCGCCAGGTCAAGGTACCCCTTTTTGACGGCAATGTACACTGGAGTCTGGTCGTAGTTGTCAGGAAGATTGACATTCGAGCGAGGTAGCAGCAAGTCCGCCATTTTGAGGTCGTTTGCTTCGACCGCGTACCGCAATGGCGTCTTACCGAGGATATCTTGGGCGTCCGGATTGGCGCCTTTGTCCAGAAGCTGCCTGGCGACCTCTAGGTTCTTGTTTTTGACTGCCGCATGCAAAGGAGTGCTTTTGTTGGTTATTAAATGCGACCAGTAGCTATTTACCTTGTTTACGTGGGCGTTGTTGAACAACAGGTAGTCGATTATGTCCTTGTGGTTGAGCTTCACCGCCTGGTGGAGGATGAAAAAACTATCCGGCCATGTTGACAGTGAAGTTGATGTTGAAGTTATCAGAGATTTTAGCTTGTCGATATTCAGCTCGTTTATCGCCGCTATGAAGTTCTGGGTGTCTGACATTCTGACTGGAAGCAGGTTGTAGAGTTAGATTGGTGGATAAAGAGTGGGAAATTAGAGGTTGACACTTACCTGGATTCAAATGGAGAAATTGACAGGTGGATATTGTAAATTGCTTCTTTTTGTTGGGCTAGTTTTTCTTGGGTGACAATATTTATGTCTCCATGATTGTTATGTCAGGTTTTTTTTTTTATTATTGTAGATTACGTTGACGGGCGGTGGTTGGTAAGTTACCAAGTTTTCAAGGAAGTGGTGCCATCTGTGGGGAATAAGTTTTGTTAGTATCTTGGGTCGGTAAGAAAAATTTTTTTTGGTAAGTTAAGGCAGCGCTGTCTGTTTCTATATCAACGCGGAAAATGCCGTTATATTAATCATCATAATGTGAGTTTCAATAATAGTTTGGGTAAGTTTATTTCTATGACATTAAGGAGGTTCGAGCGAATCTAATGTGAAAAATAATTTCCAACTTTGAGCTTTGAAATTAAATATACGTATAAATAAATAGCTAATAACTTTGTAAAAAAAAACATGATATTTTTGGATAAAAATTTAGGAGAAAAATCTTCAATGTAGGGGAGACAGCAACTTCCCAGACAACATCCAAGTCAGAAGGATTTCTTAAAGATGTCTTTTCAAAGACTTCCTTGAGAACTCCAAATATGACGTCTTAAAGACCTCATTTTTCGGAATTCTTAATTAAGAAGTTTTTTTTTAAGTTCTATAAGACATCACAGATATAAGCTCTTTGAGAAGTCTTTTTTCCGACTTCGTAAGAGGTCAAAAAAATGAGCTGTTTAAGAGGTATTTTTTTGGACTTTCCAAGACATCAGAAATATGAGCTCTTTAAGAGTTCTTTTTTTCTGACTTCGTAAGACATCAAGAATAAGAGCTCTTGAATAGGTTTTTTTTTTCTGATTTTGTACTTCGTCAAAATATGGGACTTAGAAAAATTTTTTTCACGTTATTGAAGAATTTTTAAAATGATAAAAAAATAAAAATAATCGCATTCGAGTGAACTCATTTCGCTGTGTATTTATTTTTGTATTATAAAAATATTATCGTAAATAGCAAAACGTTCAGTAATTCTACTTATTGAAAATTAAATCGATAATTATCGATAATTAAATCGAAAGGTATTTTTTTTTTTATTTTTGGGTAGAAAAGTTGATATCAAGTTATTTATCGTTGTTATAAGTCGTTTATAATCTTATATGAACATAAGAGCTTATGTAGAAAAAAAAAATTTACTATCTCATTAGGAGCAGTTAGCCAAGGCAGACCAGGGGACACCACATCACTGAAGTTAAGAGGCATTAGTCATGGTAAATACTTGGATGGGTGACCGCTAGTAAATTCATATTCTAAGCTGCGAGCGACACCATTTTTTTTTTATTTCGAAGAAAATATATTTTAATGTACTTGATTGTCTTCAATTTAAGCTCTTTTTTAATATTAATTACAATTAAAACTGAAAATGTCTCCTCTATGAACTACTTTTTTCTAGAGTCAGAAAGGGCTCTTAATTCTGACTTCTTGAAGAACTCTTTTTTTGAAGTCAGAAAAAAGAGCTCTTTAAGAACTCTCTCTTTATGAAGTCCTGATTCACTCTTTAGGTGGCGCATTGGACGTCCTCAAAACGTCTTGGAGACCTCATTTTGATCAAAATTTTGACGTCTAAATCTTAAATAAGAGTTCTTTGAGAACTGTAAAAGACGTCATATTGCTATCTGGGTTGCTGATCCATGGTTGATCAACTCCATCGATGTATTTTTCTCGACCTGGACAATCAAGCACAATGAAGGACTGCTTATTAGAACGGATCTGAAAAAATAAAAAAAAATAAAAATTGATAATCTAATTTAATAATTTTGGACATTAATAACGACTATATCAAGTTTATTGGGGTGCTAAATACTTACAATCTGCAACAGCAACAGAGTACGGGAGGACTTCAGGCTACCTGGCATCTTGCCGAATTTCCGGTGCTTGATGATATCCGACAAACAGCTGATGGACTCTTGTTTGAAATTGTTCAGTTTAATTTGGGCCGTCACTTGTGACCACTCGTCCGCCCCCTTGCTCCTGACGAGATCTTTTACTGAGTCCACCGATTTCTTTTGCCTTTGGTCAACATTGGCCACGAATTTTGGACCAAACTCAAGGGCTCTACATTAAAAAATTAATTGTAAAAATGAATTCTATTCTATTGTATTTCATGACAGATAGGGATTATTTTTTAATTAGAATTGAAAAATCATTCCAAGAAAGTATACGAGTTAAAAATGCTCAGTAAGTTATTTATTCCTATGTTTTTCTTCTATGTTCTTCGAGCTCATAAATAAAATTTGTATACTTTTTCAAGCTCTTTGAGCTAAAAAATCTAGTGGTTGTAAATGCATACTTTATTTTCATATCAGGGAGGTTATTCATTATCTACCAACCAATTCAACATGAAATTTTAAAGTTATGTTCAAATCACACTTTTTTCGCATTTTTGAATTCAAATATCTATCAAACTATTCAACCAACTTCGATGCGGTTCACGGCAATCGACGCAGTTTAATTAGCACAAAAAAAATTATCTCTTAGTCGCTAAGTAATTCGGACAGAATTTCGAAGTTATTTAAAAAAATTTACTTTTTTTTTATTTTTTTCGTCAACTATATTTCAAGAACGAATCAACCGATTTTGACCAGCCCGGCGACGATAGACGTAGTTTTTTTTTTATATTAAAAGCTGATAAATTTTTGGAATCGATCAGTAAAGCGCTTTAAAAGTAATTTTAAATAAACCGTTCGTTTTCCGACTCCCCTGGTTAAGATGTTCGTACCTTTGGAGTGGGAGAGGCCCAGAGGGTAGTGAGGGTAGTTGCGCGCGCCTCTACAGCTCTCATCTTCGGCTAGCATCCCTTCTCGAGTTGGCAAAATGGGACCATGTTGACATGACGTCACGATGACCCTCAATGTTCCCAGGTCATTTGCAGCCCGCCTGGATATCTGGTTTTTATGACCTAGCCCTGGGTACTCGAGTAATCCCTTTTTTTAGCGAACGTTTTGGAAAATAAGCTTCTTAAAAGATTATGACAATAAAAATTAATAAATAAAGATCTCTGGGTTTTCTCTAGTTTCGTAAAGAATATTCCAAAACGTTCGGTATCTTATTCTAAGTGACCATTACAATTACAAGCGTAAATTTATTTTAACAAAGAAATTTTTCTTAGAATGTCTAGACTAACTGCACGGCACTTAAAAGTTTTTATGTTTTCCCTTGGGAGTTTCCGGTAATTATAAATTCGTCTATACCCTAAAATTTATGATAGAAAAATTCCCATACTTAACAATAGAATTTAAAATAGAAAGGTTTACGATATTTGAAAGATTCTTATTTCTTACTAGTATAAGCTGATACTATTTAAATCTTACTGGGTTCCTATAATATTATGGGAATGACACACATAATAATAGGAAAAAGTTTATTTTCTTAATAATGAAGCAATCACTTCAAAAATATAAAGTAATTATTATGTATTTTTTTGCTAATAACATTTTTTTTTTGTAAATAAAAATTGATCTTTTACTAGAGTGAAAAAATTTCTTTTTCATAATTTTTATTCACGTGTGTACTTAATCTTGAATTATTTATTCCAGCTCAGTTATTATTGTGTTAAATAATATTGAAAAATATTGTAGCAATTTCAAAGTTTCTCTAATAAGAAGGATATTTTCTCACTATACAATTGTAGGAGCAAAATAGATATGGAAATTCATTGTTTATTTTCACAATTTCATTTTATTTTTAAAGCAAATTATTTATTTACAATACATACGTTGAGCCGCGAAAACATTTGAAAATTTGGAATTTCAAAGCAATTGGAAATTTTATTTTATTTAAGAAATTTTTTTTTTCTAGTCGAAATTTTTTTTTTAATTAATTTTATTTTTTGCTCGACGGGCAGAAAGCGTCAAATTTCGGCCCGCTGCGCTAAACGAAATTGCCACTTTCTGCCTTCGTCGAGCAAAAAAATAGCATACACTCCTCGGGAAGTAAATAAGAAAGCCTCAGATCACATGTTTGTTGACCTCGGCTTCGCCTCGGCCAACAATTACATGTGATCTGAGACATTTCTTACTTTACTTCCCCAGGTGTGTAATGTACTATCGTGATCGTCAAATGCCTCTATCACAACCATAATGCACTTATACAATAATATAAGTAGATGTACACCCAGAAAATACTTAAATTAAACTATCTTATACTTTCTAAAATCATTTAATGTTGCTATCTTGAAAAAAAAAAAAAAA